TCAGCATTCCTTTTTACAGCTGCAAGATGTTCCATTGTGTGGATCTGCAAATGTATGTAACGAGTCTCCCAATGCTTACATTTGGGTGCTTTCCAAACTTGGTATCAAAGCATGGTATTGTTTCATTATGTCTGTACACAAAATCCTTACATATCACACCAAGGGAGCGCCATTTGTTATTTTGCTGAACATTGCCAAATTGTCCTCCGCAGAGGTTGTACAGTTTGCATTCTACTAGAAAAGTACAGAAAAAGGGTCCACGTTCCCCAGGGAACTCACAGACCTGTATCAAAATCAAGCCAGGTTTTCCTATCTCTTAAAGTTTATTGTTTAAGTTGATTGAGGTACAATTTACGTGCAATAAATTCATCCTTTGTACCATAAAGTACGCAGTATAATTTGAATTTGCATGTCTTTTAGTATAAGCATGATGAACTATTTTTATAATCACAGAGATTTTTAAACCCCAAAATATAATGAATACAACATTTAAGTAAGACCACTCAATTTGTACATTCTTATTTCTTTCAAATTCAGCACATTTCATTCTTTCTTCTTTTTTCCTTCCTTTTTTCCCCCCCCTCGGACGGAGTGTTGCTCTGGCCAGGCTGCTCTCATTCTTTCTTTTATCCTTTGGCAAATTCAGAGTATGTGGTGCAATACCAACTGATTTCTTAAAATGTGTTCTTGCCAACTTTGGAGAAGTACAGTAAGACAAATTGACTGTCAAGATGGAAAGCTTAACTGGGAAGATACATTTATTGAATAATTGAAAGGAAGAGGAAATGCATTACCGCTGGCCACAGAAATGCCTGACGCCTAATCTGCGCTTCAAGAGACCTCTGTAAATGGGGAGTCATAAAACTGTTTCGGCCCGCAAAGTTCTTAGCAGCCCAAACTCATCACTGCTTTGTTTGGAGGTTGCAGTGCCAGAGCAGTGATGGGCTGTTTGCTTTCAGGGCTGGCTGAAGTGCCGTGTTGCAGCAGCTCTCTGTAGCGCTACTAACGCTCTACACTTCTAAGCCTGGTGTACTTAAATATTTTAACTGAATCCTGGATTTATTACTACCTGCTTTGCTTCAGGACTTTTGCTTTTGTTTTTTTTTTTTTTTTGAGACTGAGTCTCCCTCTGTCGCCCAGGCTGGAGTGCAGTGGCACGATCTTGGTTCGCTGCAGTCTCCGCCTCCCAGGTTCAAGCGCTTCTCCTGCCTCAGCCTCCCGAGTAGCTGGGATTACAGGCATGCACCACCATGCCCAGCTAATTTTTGTATTTTTGGTAGAGACAGGTTTCACCATGTTGGTCAGTCTGGTCTCGAACACCTGACTTCATGATCCACCTGTGTTGGCTTCCCAAAGTGGGACTTCTGCTTTTTAGGAGGCAGCATAGTATAGATTTCAGAAAAGGCAGTTGGTGTTGGCAGAGTTGGGACTGGAACTCAAGCCTTCTGGTTTACGAAACAGGGACATGACTTCCAGCAAGCAAGTTCCCTCACTTCTCTGGGCTTATTCCTTATCCAGGCAGAGTGGTGGATCAGATCCTGCTGCTCGAAATGATCCAAGCTTCAGCAGCCTCAGCCTTACCTAGGAGATCCTCAGAAAGGCAGAATCTAGAGCCCCATCCCAGAGCTGTGGAATCTAGATGGGAATTCTAGTCAGATGTTCAGGTGATTTGAGCATGCACTAACGTTAGAGGAGTGCCGCACAGACTTGGAGGGTTCACTGGAGAGGTTTGGGTCTTCCCTGCATCTCCCGTAGCTTGTTGGAGATGGTGGTGACTGCTACAGCCTTGCACCACTCCTCATATTCTAGCTGTGGTTAGGTTGATTGAGACAGTGAGGCAACAGAGGAGACAGGAAAGTCAACTCCAGTGGGTTTTCCAGGCCCTTGGGAAGCAAGCCCAAGGATGCCATCTGCAAGCTTGGCTGTGTTGTCCAAATTCTTGAGGCTCATTCAAGAACAAGGAGGTAAACAGAGTCAAGCTGGATATCTGCAGTACTTCTCCATGCATCTCTGATGTGCCTCCTCACTAGCATAAGTCAGTGCAAATGATACCCTCAATGGTGCCCTTTGGAAAAGGGAGCTTTCTTGTACTTGCGGGAGAAGCTTGCGACTGATTTTTGGAGGGAATTTGAATGTATACTTACAAGATAGGAAGTATTTATTGATTTCTTCAGCACTCCAATCTGGAGAGACCAGAGTAATACAAAAAAGTTTTTTTAAAAGTGTTCCTGCCATTGTATCAAGCAGGAAAATCCTAAATTAGCTGTAATCGGGAGTAGAGTCCCTGCTCATGCACACAGAACTTGTTGAGTGAAACCCCTCCTCTGTTTTGTGCTCTTAGGATTTCTGGGCTGTTGTGACTTTCTGTCCCAGACCCAACAGGCCTGCATCGTATGTATGAAGCATGTGATTTTTCAGTGCATTTGATAATGGCTCACTATGGGAAAATCTTGTGAAAGAAAAAGATGGGAAATTGTGTGAAGACACATTGAGAGACACAGAACCAGATCCCTAACTGTGACATCTCTGAATAAAGGGCCTTCCTTTCTCATGGGATCCGGGGAAGGCCTTGGTGTGCCCCTTCAACCCTGACGTTAGAAATGAAAGTTTTGAGAAGCCTTTCAACTTCAGCTTTATCCTAAGCCAAAGTCTTCCCAAAACAGTTGGTAAGACAGCACTGGACAGAAACGTGTGTGAAAAGCCCAGAGCTGCACTGAATCAGGGCTTTACCAAGCGCTTTGTCTTTTCCTCCCTCTGAAGCATGCGAAGAACGCAGCTTTCTTCCCATTTCCTTGGTGTTATTGTTCAGGCTGCTTGGAGAGACTTGAAAATAGCCAAGTTACTGTTAGCCAAAAATGTGCCTTGTTTATAAACCCGGGTTTTGTTTCTGCTTTTGTGCATGTTACTGGTTTGATCTGTGTTACCAGAAGAACATTGAAAATAGTGAACTGCTTTGATGCGAATTCCAAGGAATAATGACAAACAAGTGTGTTTATACAACAGTACATAAGCAGAAATACATAAGCTGGGCACAGTGGCAGGCATCTCTCATGAGGCAGGAGGATCCCTTGAGTGGGAGTGTGGAGCTGTAGTGTGCTGTGATCACACCCGTGAATACCCAGTGCAGTCCAGACTAAGCAACCTGGAGAGACCGCGCCCTAAACCAAAACCCAGAAAACCCGGAAATACATGGAGCCAACACGAACACCACATACTTTGCACGTTTGATGCCATGAGCTACGGAAGTTCACGCCCAGCGTAGTTCACTTCGGAATGCCTGAAAAACACCTTCATTTCAAAGGATATTGCAATCTATTCTCTTTCCGTTTCCAAACTATGTCGTAATAAAAGGATGCATCTTTTTGGCACAAAAATGTGGGAAGGATAAATTTCCCCCAACTGTATACAAAAGTACTCACTCCCAAGTGGGGCATTCTTTTCTATGTAATGCCATATTGGTCTTCCATTATTCTGCTTTGAGATTTTTGTGGAGTTTGGCTTATGGGGTACTCAACTAAGCCATTCTACTAAATGTGGACCTTAGACCTTTCAAGCTTTGGAGGACACACATCCTTTACATCCATACAGAAGCACCTGTTTTCTGTCTTTCTTTCACGATTGTAGAATTTCACTTGAAGTTCATATCCAAGCTTAGTCTCAATGTCCAGCACCCCTTCAACTTAGTTGGGTGGGGACCCCCATGTGGTCCAGGGGGACATGCGTCAAAGCTCTAGCAGACGTAGCCCAAAGGAAACTTAATTTCAGTCCCTGTTGGCACCTGTGATCTCAGATGGTGCTGGGATTAGGCCATGGGCACTAGCAGACCTGCCTTTGGACTTGGAAGTTGAGCACTTGCTAAACAAAAAATTATCTGTAAATGCCGAGTGTGTCCCTTTGGTCAAAGTGGCAAGAGGAAGGGAAGGCCGAGAAAAAACATCCGTGTGATGGTAAATAATGTTTGACTCATTTGCTATTGAAAACACTTCTCTTTTGTGTATTCAACAAATGTATTTGTTTTAAAAGGGAAAAATCAGCTTGTCAACCATTGTTTCTTAATTGTAATGCCATAAAAGACTTTCTGGAGATTAGAGAAAACATTCGTTTTTCTGAGTGTAGTCTAAGCTGCACTTCTTTCTTTTTCTTTCCTTCTTTGACAGTGTCTCGCTCTGCCGCCCAGGCCAGAGTGCAGTGGTGCCATCTCAGCTCACTGCGACCTCCACCTCCCAGGTTCAAGCAGTTCTCCTGCCTCAGCCTCCCAAGGAGCTGGGACCATAGGCACCTGCCACTACGCCCGGCTAATTTTTGTATTCCTAGTAGAGACAAGGTTTCACCGTATTGGCCAGGCTGCTCTTGAACTCCTGACCTTGTGATTTGTCTGCCTCAGCCTCCCAAAGTGCTGGGATTACAGGCGTGAGCCACCACACCTGGCACTTTTTTTTTTTCTTTTATAGAGACAGAGTCTCACCACGTTGCCCAGGGTGCTTTTGATCTCTTGGGCTTCAGCAGTGCTCCCACCTGCCTTCTGAGTAGCTGGGACTGTAGCACACAGCACCACACCTGGCTCATTTTTAATTTTTTTTTGTAGAGACAGGGTCTTGCTATGTTACCCAGACTGGTCTCGAATGCCTGGGCTCAAGCATTCCTCCCAGCTCGGCCTCTCAAGGTGTTAGGGTTACAGGTGTGAGCCCGCATGCCTGGCCCTAGGCTTCTTTCTTGAATGCAGTCTCCTCTGGCTGGCCGGCCTTTTCTCTCCCCTCCCACACCCCCAGGTGCACTGCTGCTCATGGGCGAAGGCTGTTCCCTCATCTTTCTCCATCCACCATCGACCCCATTTGCTGTGGGCTCATGCGCCTGCGGGTGGTGGAGACAAGGACCCAAGCCAGGAGGGTTGGTTCCAGGCCCTGCTGCTGGGGCTGTGTCGTAGCCATGGACTTTGCTCTCCGTCCTTACCCCACACTCACGTGTTGCCTGTGGTTTTGTCTTTGCTCTCTCCCATGCAGATCCGGAGTTAGGTGTTGGCACGCTACCAGAACATGACAGCCAGGATGCAGGGCCGATTGTCCCCAAGATATCGGGTTTAGAGAGAAGCCAGGAGAAGAGCCAGGACTGTGGCAAAGAGCCCATCTTTGAGCCTGTGGCGCTTAAAGACCCCTGCCCTCAGGTCGCACAGCCGATAACCCAGCCCCAGACGGAGCCTCAACTCCGAGCACCTTCTCCGGACCCTGACTTGGTGCAGCGCACAGAGGCCCCGCCTCAGCCCCCACCTCCGAGTGCACAGCCACCGCAGGCCCGGGAGGCCCAGCTCCAGCCCGCCCCGCAGCCTCAGGTGCAGAGGCTCTCCAGGCCACATTCCCCCACCCAGCTGCTCCATCAGAACCTCCCACCTGTGCAGGCCCACCCCTCCGCTCAGAGCCTCTCCCAGCCACTGTCAGCCTACAACAGCAGTAGCTTAAGCCTCAACAGTTTAAGGTGAGCGGCCAGTCTTTGGCCTGACTTTTGCCCTCTCCCTGGGGATCAAGCGGGTGGGAGTGGGAGAGGGACCCACAGGGAGACTGCAGTGTCCTTGTTGGAAACATCATCCTTTTCTCTGAGACCGGAGACAGGGAAGGGGGCTGTTTGGGTGAGTGAGACTCTGGTCTTTTGGGAAAGGACAGGTTAGCATGGGTGGACGGTGAGGACATGTAAAGAAGTAACTTGAGAGAGTGAAGGCTGAAGGAGAGGAAGGCTTGGAATGCCGTGGGCCAGGGAACCCAGCAGCAGCGAGAGGCTGGGGGTCGAAGCCTGGGGCGCAGCAGAGGCCGCAGAGTGTGAGCAGAGCCTTTGAAGGGAGGCTCTTTGCCGCTGATGGAAGAAATGTTAAAGAAAACTCCGTCTCCCTGCGGTCCCAGATGCAGGAAGATTGGGACCCAGTGAGTGTTCCAGTGTCGGTTTTTTTTTTCCATCGTGATTTACTTTCTCCTATGTGGGTCAGAGGATTGGGGAAGAAAGGAAACAGGCTGAATTTAGAGAAAGTGAGAAATTTCTGCTTGGAAATCTGGGCTCTCCTCTGTCTTGTTTTTGCCAAGTTACAAAGAAACTTCTAAAAAGTAGCACAGAGGAACACAGTGAAGAAAAGAGAGGCAGAAACCCAGTGCGTAGTGCCAAGTAGCACCGACCTTGGTGCCCAGGGGCTCTGATTCTAACCCGGCACTGCTCCTGAGCTGTGTCTTTGTTACTGTTTTCCTTTTGAAAACCCGGTGGCTTTGGTGGTTCCGGCCCTTGCTTTTTTCTAAGGGAAGACAGTCTTTGGGAAGCAGGTTTTCTTCCCCAGGGAGCCAGGCCCGGCCTCTGACCCCTGGGCCGTTTCTGTGGCCTCCAGTCCATAAAGGTGACTTGAGAACCTGGATTCCACCTCTTGTTCGTGTCTCCTCATTGAAGAGGTAACAAGACAGGTGGGGTGAACTCAGATCATCATTTTTTTATCCCTTTTTGTTAACCGTTGCTTTATAGGAGATGTAGCTAGTGGAGGATGGGAAGGCTGGGGATTTTCTTAGGGCAGAGCTGAGAATCTGGCCACAAGGGTTAGGCAGAATGAGCTGTCAGGACACCAAGATGCCCCACAGCTCTGAAGCAGCAGTTTGGTTTCCTCTGCCTGTAGCGGTGGGGAAGTTTGCAGGAGTTGTGATTTCAGAGAGTGTGTGCATATGGGGAGGATCTGCAAAGAGGACGGGGTGGGAGAGACTGTGTTGAGGGTTTAGGGGAGGGAGATAGGATTCTTTTTTAAAGAGAATACATTGCTTACCTTTATTTATTTTTTTCTTGCTCTGATAGCAGTAGCAGAAGCAGCACTCCAGCGAAGACTCAGCCTGCCCCTCCTCACATCTCCCACCACCCCTCTGCCTCCCCGTTCCCCCTCTCCCTGCCCAATCACAGCCCCCTGCACAGCTTCACGCCCACCCTCCAGCCCCCCGCACACTCACATCACCCCAATATGTTTGCCCCTCCCACTGCTCTGCCTCCTCCACCACCACTGACATCAGGAAGTCTGCAGGTGCCGGGACACCCGGCGGGGAGCACTTACTCAGGTAGGATGGGGGAACCGGGGCTGTTGACCCCCACACCCACTGCCCCTCACAGGTTAGCCTCACCCTACCCAAGTTGTGCTGATGGCAAGGTTGCATTTGCCTACAGTTTTCTCTTTCCTTGTAATCTTCTTCAAACCCTCTCTGGCCTGAGGTCCAGCAGAAATGCCTATCAGCACCCATACTAAGCTAGCTCAGCCCCTGTGAATCAGACACTGCCCAAAGAGCGTGGGTTTGTATGGGGGCGTTTGGGGGCATTTCCAGCTCAATTCAGCCACTGAGTGGTCAGACCCAGGTAGCGTGTGTCCTGTCACCTGGGCTCCCCTGAGACTGATGGAAGCTTCCCTAAGCTTGTGTCTGTTTCACTCCAGGATCTTAGATTGTGTCCTGGTTTAAGGGGTTTCTTTTCACTGGGCAGGGCCTTCTCCTGCCTCCTTGGGAGAGGACACACTCTTTGTGACAATATATCCCAGAATTTTAAGGGCAGACCTTGTGGTAGACATGGGATCCTTTCTCCTCACCCACGTTAATCAGATCAAGTGTCCCAGTTTGGGCGCTAATACAGAGAGCCATATAGTGGTAATTGACACTTGAAGAGGGCATGCCAGCCCTGTCATGTGAGCAGCTGACATTAATAGTGTGCTGTCACTGCTCCCAAGCACTTAAATGTGCAAACTGCTTTAGCCCTCACAAACCCACAAGTTAGGCAATATTATTGTCCCCCTCTTAGAGATGGGGAAACCGGCCCTCAGATGGGTTATTTGCCATGCCCAGGGTTACTCAGCTGGTGGTGACAGCTGGAATGGGACTCTGGTGTTTGGCCTGGAGTCTGTTCACCATGTCGATAGACCACCTGCCTGTCCCTGGGAACTGGGAGACCAGGTAGAGAACAGGGAAACAGGATGCAACCGGGCCTTGGGCCCCTGGGCTTTGTTGATTGCTCCTCTTTGATCTCAGGGCCCAGCCGCACCGTCACCCCTGTCACTGTGTCAGCCCCATATCCCTGCACAAGAAGGCACTCTGATGTCCTGTTCTGAAGGAAAAGTTGCCATCATCTCCCTCTTCTTCTCTTCCAGAGCAAGACATCTTGCGACAGGAGCTGAACACTCGTTTTCTGGCCTCTCAGAGTGCTGATCGCGGGGCTTCCCTGGGCCCTCCGCCCTACCTGCGGACTGAGTTCCATCAGCACCAGCACCAGCACCAGCACACGCACCAGCACACACACCAGCACACCTTCACGCCGTTCCCCCACGCCATCCCGCCCACCGCCATCATGCCGACGCCAGCACCTCCCATGGTGCGTACCCCAGGCAGAAATGTGAGGATAAGTAGAGCACGACTCTTTTCATTATGCAGCACGTGGGGCTGGGCTGGGCATCGGAGCCACCAGAGATCAGATGGGGAGTGTCAGCCGTTGGCTGGAGAGAAGGGAATGTATCCTAGTGACCTCAGGGGCCTAAAGTAGGAACTTCTAGGCAGTTGTCGCCAGCACTGTGGATGCCCTCAAAACAGTCATGTCGAGCATTGATGGCTAACTTCTTAAAGGGTTGTTTTGTGTTCTTGAGCATCCGGGGACTGTCAGCAGATAGAAAATGCACCTGCTTGTGCTCTGCACCACGTGCTAGCACATAAGCGCTTGCAGGGTCGGGGGGTGGGGGGGTGGGGTGAAGAAGAGACGAGAGAAGGGAGAGAGGCCTCTGCCGGCAGGCTGGGACTGCACTAGGTGCCGCTCGCTCGTCCCAGCGGTTTCCCTAAGCCCGCCCTGTTGGAGGTGCTCTATTTCTTGTATTTCCTGAGACAAGCCCCTGGTCTGGTATTGTGCTCAGGTGTTCAGGGATCCCTGCAGGGAGGAACCACTGGCCATGACATGGTCTTGGTCTTCACTGGGGGCTACCTCATGGGAAACACTTTGGAATTTTTTTTTAAAGTTAATAACCGTAATTGATAGTGCTGTATTAGAATGCTAAATATTGTGAGATAGAGTCCTGTCTCTAACAGTGAGGATTAGAGCCATTTTTTACTTATTTAATTATTAATATTGTAGGAAATACTAGATTTTAAGGCCATTACTATAGGCATTGTGAGAATAAATTGCATGATTTTAAAAGGAGTCCCCTTCACCCAACTTTGCTTCCCCTCCTTCCTCTCCCTCCCCCATCTTGTTCAACTGACTTTTTAAAGTTTGTTTTATACATTTTATTTCAAGGAATATTAGCAATGAGGCCTTGTGACCAAAAATATTTTTTTAATAGCAAATCCTGTCTCTTTTTTGGATGAACTATGCTTCTCAATAATTAGATTTTGAAGAGCCTGAGATTTTGAGAAAGTTTTCTGCTGGCCTGTGTGAGCTGTTTCACAGATAAATTTAACCAAGGGTAGTTACAGCATCAATATGATGGCATTATTGAGAGGAGACAATAGTTTACTCCCTTTCTGTTCAAACGAAAGGCTGCTTGGCCTATCCTAGATCACCTGGTATTTGGGTGTAACACATTTCAGAAGACAGCTGCATGTACAGTTTTTCTGTCAAAGTAAAGATAAAAATAGGGGGAATTCACTGGATAAATCCGACCACAAGTGCTCCCCTCTGTCTGATTTATCTGGATACGTGTCTGTTTTCTCCCGTTCGGATGTTTGGTTAGTTCCAATACGTAGAAAGAAAGCAGTGGAAAGAAAGGCATCCTGGGGTGTGCAGAGCCCAACGCGCCGCATGGATTTTCACTTTGTTCTTCCATTTCTGTTGGTTTCTTGTCAGGGACACTTAGGAGCTCAGAATGGTTTCGTGTGTAATGAGGTTATTGAGTCTGATGACAGCTTAATGACAGGGAAGCTTTGTAGGGCCACCTCCACTGTAGCAGTGAAAAAAAATGCAGATGAAGTAACTAGCTTTTGCTTTGATCCCTTTACAGTTTGACAAATACCCTACAAAAGTTGACCCCTTCTACCGGCACAGTGTGAGTTTCATTACCATGCTACACATTGAATGTAACTGCTTTGCCATTTGTGTGCTCTTGCCACAGATCAGTCAATGACTGGCAGCCTTCCTTAATCATCTTTGCAAGAGATCCCATTGCTCCTCGCCACTTTGGATGCTTGCTTTTGTGGTGTTTTGCTTTTGGTAAAGATGCAGTATCATCGTCTGAATCAAAAGATCGTAAGCACTCCGAAGGCCTGAACGCAGAGCTTCCACTTCGGTGGAAGTCGGGCGTCCGTCCTGCAGAGTGAGGTGTCTGCCGTGGAGTCATTAGAGGTCCAGGAGAGTCTGAAATCTCAACATTTCAGTCGTCAGCGAATTACTTCCTCTAAACAGAACGTCCCTTGTCTTTTTGACTCATGACTCTTGAACAAGTAGATTTTCATTTGCTCTGGACTAAATGTAGAATCCTCTTCCACGTGGCCGGTGTTGTTCTGTTGACGTTGTTACAATGGAAAGTAAAACTATCACTTAATTAAGAGAAACTCCCAAAATGGAAATGAGTGAAATTTTTCTCTTTAAACTCATTCTCCTTTATTTAAAAAACAAAACAAAATAAAACTTGTTTAATGCAATTTTAAGAGTCTCTTCTGGAAGGAACCTCAATTGATAACACCCTGAGTTAATGTTGAGCTAACCTGTAAGAAGAGAGCTGCTTTTATTCAATGATCTTGAATATTTCCATGATATTTTGATGATGGGGTGAATACTGCATCATTTTTATCTGAAAATTTTCAAGTTTCTTTGCCAGTGATTTTTTTTTTTTAATGAAACCAGAAAAAAAAGAGGAGGTTAACGTTGCTTGTAGCCCTGTTGATTCACGAACTCAACTGTTCCTGCTTCGATCTGTAGATAGTGTTATCTTATCATTGGAGCAGAAGTGCTGCTTTAATAGATCAGCAAAGACCGAATTCATTCATACTCTGAACCAGATAATTAGAAACTGTGTTAGTCAAGAGTATAGCTGAGAAGTCAAGACTAGAAAATACTAGAAATCAATTGAGAATTATGTACTCTAGAGGCATTTAGAAATGAAATGAAAGACCTCTTCAAAAAAAAAAAAGTTAGAGAAGTGTATTTGAGTGATGACCCCTTTCCCTCCCTCCCTGCATGGTTCCCCACATTCCGCTCAGGACTGGGATACAAAAACATATTTCATGGGGACACGCAAAACCCAGTAGACGTGTGGGCTTCCTCCTTGGGTCTGGCCCATGGATGTCACCATTCTGCCCCTAGTCTATACTTTGCTGATTTAAAGTAAGGACCAGCTAACAAAATAATTTCTATAGAAAGTTTAGTGTGCCCAACAAGTGACCCAGATTCACTTTGTGGGACCCACTGTGGTGCCTTCTGGTGCGAATATTCGACCGTCCTAGACTGAAGATGGAGAAGAAGCCTGAAGGCCTGAGTTTTTGGAAGGTGTATGTATGTATGTATTCTTACTTAGGTGCTACAGGTTTTTAGGCAGGGAGAGGAATAGTCAGCTCTGTTTATGCTCTAAGAGGTCAGTAATGGACAAAAGCAAAAACAAAGTGGTAAGAACATCCAGTTTTTTTTGGTTTTTGTTTTTGTTTTTCTCAGACGGAGTTTCGCTCTTGTTACCCAGGCTGGAGGGCAATGGCACAATCTTGGCTCACCGCAACCTCCGCCTCCTGGGTTCAGGCAATTCTCCTGCCTCAGCCTCCCTAGTAGCTGGGATTACAGGCACGCGCCACCACGTGCGGCTAATTTTTTGTATTTTTAGTAGAGACGGGGTTTCACCACGTTGGCCAGGATGGTCTCGATCTCTTGACCTCGTGATCCACCCACCTCGGCCTTCCAAAGTGCTGGGATTACAGGCTTGAGCCCGGCCCATCCAGTTTTTAAATTGTAAACATGAAAGGGAAAATGCCCACCTGGAGGCCGAGTACTAGAGATGTGAGTGTGTTTTACTGTGGCACGTGTTGAATTCCTCGGCTTCATTCCGTGTACTGTGGGAGAGTTATTTCATACTAGAGTTATAGTGACTAACATGGGAAGTGCTTGGTCTCCCCTGCTTTCGGGATTAGAACATTATCAGGGGAATTAAGATGCAATGAACTCAAGTATCTAAAACACAATTTTAGACTCAAAAGTAGTTTTAAATGAGGGCACTTGGCTCGCAATCACTGTTTAAGTGGATTTAGTTCAATATCAATTAGTCTAAAACTGTGCTGCATCATTGAAGGGAGCAAAATGAAATAAAGACCAACAGAAAAAGGACGTGCTCCGAAAACGGGATTGCGAAATGTGAATTTCAGTCATTACCAAAAATAGCTTATCCAAATCCTTTATTGAGAAGAGCTTCAGTTATTACGTTTTTCAGATACTAAACAACCACGAGGGCGGAGCATTATTTAAAATGTTTGTATGGTGACCTGATGACAGTAGATAGAACCAGACCAATAGGACCTCAAAAATATTAAATTTTTAGAAGGAAAGATGTGTTTGCATTGTCTTCAGATTGTCTCTCTTTCTTTCCACAACTGTGTCCTTTTATGGGCTATTGATTTCGGAAAATTCATAGTCTTCATTCAGAATCATTCTTTTCCCGTCATAGAGTGGACTCCTACATGAAGGGCTGGGCTTGAGTGTCCTCCAAAGAGCTTGTTCATTTAATAGCAGATACCATTCAGAAGTGGCCATAGAAATTCAGACTTCATACGTTAAAATGGAAGTGCTTTGGGTACCTGAGACTTCAGAGCAAACGAAAGCTCGATGGTAATATTCCAGACTCGGGTGAGGCCTGTGCAGTGAGAATCCATCTTCTAGACACATTGCCAGCTCCACGTAAAGTACACATCGAGTCCGTTTACGCTTTCACAAATATCTGTCATGATTTTAGATGAGAGAATTTCATTGTCCTCTGGAACTGCCACTTATACAGCCTAATGAAGCAAGGATTCTGAATATGTTCTCATTTCCTCAAACTATTAAAAATCTAAAAGTACTAATTGAGTTTTAATGGTGTAAAATCCCAGCACTCATGAAGACTTCTTTTTCTTTTTTTTTTTTTTTCCTTTTTTCTGTCTCCTTCCCCGTCCCCCGCCCCTTAACTTGTAATTTTTGAGCATCTTATTTGGCTCAGGATCCCTCCTGTTTTGAAGTGCATTAAAGTCTCCAATCATTTAGGACCTCTATCCAAAATTAATAATTAGAAAAGCTCCCTTTCTAACGATGCCCTCATGCGGGACGTCATTTGCTGGCTGACTGACCCTGAACTACTTTTAACTTTGTACGTTACACATCCATGGCACATCTGTGTGATCATTTCATCACGGCTTCTTGGCTGATAGCATCAAACTGAGATTACTTGGCTTGCTCGTGTCAGTGTCTTTCTGTGGGAAGGGAATTTGAATATGTCACTTGCCTCCTACTAAAATCTGTTTTTCCCCCTCTCCGTCTTTGGCCACAGCTCTTCCATTCCTACCCTCCTGCAGTGTCGGGCATCCCCCCTATGATCCCACCCACTGGCCCTTTTGGTTCACTACAAGGAGCATTTCAGCCGAAGGTAAGAAACCTCACAGTGAAAACACACAGGCATGTGTCTAAGTGGCGTCCCGGGCCAGGCGTGCAGGAAGTTCTGTGTCCTCCTGCCTGCGCACTGACAAATCAGTGAGGTCCTAAGTGACCACTGGGATTTGAGTGAGCCTATTTTTTTCTGAGTCCGTCTAGTTTTAAACGGCTGTGAAAATTTAATTTTCAAACTGTACTACCCACGTAATCTCAGTTAAGCTAAGATTTCTTGTGCTCTTTAAAATATACATAATACTTATTTTTTTTACTACCAATATCGTGGACATAACTTCTGGTCAGGAATTCTATGAAATGTCAGACACATGTGCGCCAAGTTATCCTTCAGATATATGTAATTAGTAAAGACACAAAGCTGAGTCCTTACTGATTTTAGTAGAAGTGGGGATAAAGGTTCCAAACTAACATTGTAACCTATGAATTCTCATTCTCCCTCATTTCCCTCACCAGCCCCATCAGCTGCAAACAGGGTCTGCCCGCAAGTGGGGGGGGGGGTCGCCTGCCATTTTGGTCCTCCTTTCTTTCTCCCTCTCTCTCTCAGCCATCCTGCCCCTGCAGGAAGACTTTGTCATCAGTTACTAACATCCTAGTGTGAAATGAACCTTTTCTCCTTTATCATAGCTAAATTCCATTCTACCTAGTCAGTGATAATGCCGTTCAGCGTTGGCTACAGCTGTCTCTAGTCATTCTTGAAGCAGCATCTTTGTAAATATACTTACAGTTCCTATTTCACTTTCATACAAAAATGAAAGAGTTGTACTTTTGTGTGAGTAACCACTTTCAAACTTGAAGGCCTTTTGCTGTGTGTCATTTGGGGTTTTCTGTTTTCTTCCCCCAACCCCCATCTCATTCTTAAGGTAAAACAGAGTTTTGGGCCAGAGTCTTCCAGGATAAGCACATAACTGCTTTTCCAAAGACATGCTGCATTAAAACTAAAGACAGGAAAAGAATTAAAAGGCATTAGAGGTGGGGTACCCCCTTCAGAATCAGCTGCATTGAACTGCACCCCATATGCAAGGTTACGGATACAGAAGGCTTTTATGACAGCCTCGTTAAACACCTCCTATCCAGAGATAAAACGATGGTGACTTAAGCTCCCCGTCTGCACTTTAGTAGTCCCTCAGACCCTGGTCTGTCCCCTCTAGGTTGCACCAAATCTCTGGTGCCTCCCCAGGCAGACTGGTAGGTCATTTAATAAATTAGACTATTTCCCTCACTCACAATTATCCAATCACACAGAAAACTACATCTGGGCAAGAAAGTGTCTCTTCTGGTATTGAAATAGGCCTTTCCAGGCCATCGTCCTGATTGAATATGTAGATTGCAGTTCATTAGTGGAGTTCTTCATATGTATGCAAATCAGGCTGTTAACAACTCCAGCTTAATTGTTAGTTGTACTGCAGCTGATTGCTTTTCTTTCTTTCCTTCTCTTCCCCCTTCTCCTTGTCATCAAGCTTCATGCCTGAACCTGAGCTCCTTTTCCCCACGAGTTTAACTTCCTGGTGTGGGGGGTGTTCATGGAAGTTGTGATTTCTTCAGTCGAGTAACTGCTGTTGTCTCCCGAATCCTTTCCCACTAGAAAGTAGTGACTGCCCAAAGTGGCTTCTTAGTGCTGCTAATTCAAAGGACAGAAGCTCACAGATAAGGTTAATATCATTAGTAATACTTGCGAATGGTGAGCATAGGTAAGACAAAGCGAAATTGCCTTAGAAGTCATCGAGGAGCAGATCTGCGAGGTCCCTGAGTTAGGTTCTCTTGTCCCACTCCCATTTCCACCACTGCTAATGAGTAATTACTGAGTGTAATTCCTTGTTATTGTCTACCAGTTAAAATTGAGAGCTTAATGTCTGTAAAATACTTTTAGTGATTCTGATGAGGAACACCTGATACTGCCAATTATAATAACGTTCACTTAAGCATTTCTTAGAATATATGGTGATGAAGCAAAAACAAAACCAGTGATAGTCACTGCCATGGGTTCCTTCAGAAGAGGAGGTCCAGGGCAGCGTTCACATTCGTTGCTTCTCTTTTTCGGTCCTGTGCCTTTTACTGCAGTGAAATGTTCTGGGGACCTCTCTCTGCTTTTAGATGCCATTGCTGGAGAGAGCAAGCTGTGGTCCGGCCCCCTTGAGAAAGAGCCTGTGTGCTCCCTGAGAAAAATGAATCTTGCATTTCAGAAGCAAACAAATGCAGTTTGGCTTGCTCGTGTAGAAGGAGAGGAGGATCTTGCTTTTGCGTCACCTGTTCCGTGCTTCCTAAGCTGTGCTCTAATTGATTTGCAGACCTCCAACCCTATCGATGTCGCCGCTCGGCCTGGGACAGTCCCACACACTTTACTCCAAAAGGACCCGAGGGTACGTGCAAAGTTGGGCCTGGTCTCAGGTGACACCGGGGGGGTGTGTTTGCATGGGCCAGCCAGCCCCGGGCTCCCGTCTTCCTTAGCGCCTTTGAGAGAGCTGTTATTTCAGCTGTTCTTCTACTTGGAGGAAAATGCCAGTTGCTCTTAAAAAGCACAGTCTTTCCTGTGCACTGCGGGCATATGACATAAAGAGACTGACTTGCCAATGGGAGAAAAGAGGAATGACTTATGGTCCCCGCCCAGATATGGGACACTGTATAGTTCTTACTTAACCAAACCTCTCTGTGTCCTTCAGTTTTCCTGCCTAAGTGAGGTAGCTATGGAGTGTTTGGAATGGAAAAGCACTAGCGCTGAGCACTTTTCCTGGAAGTCAGGCTGTACGTCCTCCCCCTTGCCTGGGGTCAGGAAGTTACCGTACTGCACAGCCCTTTGGCCCTGTATTTTTAATGTGCTAGGGACCCTTTTGTACTCTAGAGCTAAATAAAATATCCATTATGCTTTGGTTATGTTGTTTATTCATAATTTATTACCACCGCTACTTCCAAAAAAGGAATTCCAAGTTACACGATAGATACAATTTTTGCCTCGTTGTTATTACAGTCATCTTTATACTAAATATGAAAAAATAATCGTCTTTAACAATATTGTCTTTTTACCTACATAAGGGCAGTCAGAAATTGATAACCAGAGTTAGATAGAAGTTTAAAATGACTCAACTATGTAAGTATGTCACGATGTGTAGTGAACTTCTTGCAAATGTCTAATAGCTGTAAATGATGTAAAGTCATCAATTGAAGGGTGTTGGTAAAGATAGCCTAATCCTGCTGTATGGATGGAAAGGACACCTCTCCCCAGATACCAGTTAGCATACAGCTTTAAAAGCCTGGGGTCTGCAGGTCGTTCTCCCTCAGACCTACCTGGTGTGGTTTGGAGCTTAAGACAGTGAAACTCCTGGTATGTGATGTGAGCAAATCCTGGTGCCAGAGGGCACATTGCTATTGATTAAACTTGTAAAGGGGCTTGTCTGCGTAGATGTACCAAGGCTTGTGAAGTGGGGGAGGGGACGCTTGGCACTTTGATAGTGTGAAAATGGGTTAATTATTCTCTAAAAGGGCTTCATTTAAAAGTAAAATTCTAACATTTTAATTTCCCCTCCTAATGAAGCACTACAAATTTGTTAATTAGAGCAATTGTTTGAGTGACAGGCATGTAACCAAGTTGTCATTTTCTCTTCACAGTTGACAGATCCTTTCAGACCTATGTTAAGGGTAAGAAAGCTTCTTATAGATCTGTTTTGCAACCTCTGTTTGACTCCCTGTGAGTTAAAAATACAAGTCTATTACAAGGAAGTAAACCATAGAAGAGTTGGAATAAGACACTGGAATGACAGTGATTGGTTTTTTTCAGGTAGTGTGACTGAAAATGGCCTCAATTGTTTTGCTTTGACAGTTGGAGGAAGCCAGGCCATTGGCTTTTTTATCTACCAAATTCAGCTGAGTCAGATCTCTTGTTAGCAGTTCTGGTAAAAGGTTTGACTAGTTGGAACTTAAGGGGAAAAGACTTCAGCTATAGACTGAAGTTAGTCTCTCTTGCACTTAGAAAATACGTATCTGGGTCTATTTATTTTGGCTGGAGGCTCCCTGTTTTTGCACTAAGTGACATTGACTTGTCGTAGCCTCTTGACCTCTTTTTAAGGTGCAGGAAGGAGATACTCTAAGCATTTGGTTTCTTAACATCTTGCTTAAAGCAAATTGTTCTTGAGGTCTGGAGAGTGGCCAGTGCGATGACCTCTAAATGATTGCCGACTTACCTGGGGGTTGTAAGACAGACATAGCGAATTGTTGGACAGAGATAGATAGACAGCAGATTTCTTGCTATTCTTAACTCATTTCTAGGGCATATAATCAGATAATTTGATTTCTCCAGGGGAAAAAGGACAATTGTGTCATCAGTTAGGTGAGGCAGTGTATTATTTGTGATTTCAAACTACCCATAATTTCATTGCAAGAGAACTGACCCAGACTTGCATTTAAGTATATGTTTCAGCAACAGCTCCTTACTGTAGAAACCAGAATCTTCTGTTCTTTGCCACCGTAGAATGGGGCTGTGTTTCTTCTCATCTGTCCAGTAGTTACTAATCGTGCACTCCGAACTTATGGGTAAATTACTTAGTGGAAATGAAGTAAGGAGGTGGTCCCCGCCCACTGACACTCACAGCACTCCACTCCTTATAAAGCAAGGCATGAAAATAATTGGAGAGATAGGGATTCAAATTCAACCCCAGAGGGAGGAGGAGGGACTTGAGATCTGCGGAGGCCTAGAGAATAGGAAGGAAGGAATTCTCCTTTTCTTTAAACTTAAGAAGAATCCCCACCAACATGAATGGGAGTTGACTCTTAGCATTTATGGTCACTGGGCTTCAATCAGAATGTGGTGTATTTCTTTGTACCACTTTGGGGGTTCAAATAAAAACAACCACAGTCTTGGGGGCGGTTAGGACAGGCTCCATACCCTCTGATTTTGAGTTGACTCACAGACATTCAGTAATGAGCCCTTCGGAACAGCTGATTTGCATTATAGCATGGCAGCATTTGTTAAGTAGGGCTCCCACTTTACCAGCTCTGCCAGCTGGCATCAGAAAAGAAAGAGAAAAGACACAGAGTGTGGGATTCAGGCTTTTGCCATCTTGTCCTTGGTAACCGGGGAGGTCCTTGTCAATGTGGTTTTCTGAGTAGCAGCCCTCGTGGGGAGAGAGCGGGGAACTGGCTGTGACTCCCTTGTGACTGGGCTGAAGGCACTTGGAGAGTACAAAGCACTCTTGTTTCGTGGAAAAAAAAAAAAAAAAAAAAAAGCCTCTACAGCCAAAATCTGCTGAAAGCTTTGGGGAAATTGAAGGTGGTTTTCTCTGAAATTTCTTCCTCCTAACCACGTTGCTCTTTCTTGTTCCAGAAACCAGGGAAGTGGTGTGCTATGCATGTTCACATCGCCTGGCAGATTTACCACCACCAACAGAAAGTCAAGGTCAGTCCAACCTTCCTGGCATAGGGAAGAATGGGATGGGCATGTGTGTGTGTGACCTACTCAGGAGAACCTGCTCAAGGAGGCATTGAAAATAGGTGCTAAAGACCCATAGTCAGGAAGGATCAAGCCCCCCTTGGAAAAGCTACTCCAAAGTCTTACCTTTTATTTTTATTTTTTCCCTAGAGTCAGGATCTCACTCTGTTTGCCAGGCTAAAGTACAAGGGCACAATCGTAGCTCACTGAGGTCTTGAACTCCAGGGCTCACGTGATCTTCCCTTCTCCGTCTCCCAAGCAGCTGGGACTTCAGGCATATACCACCATGCTTGGCTAATTTTTTTTTTTTTTTTTTTTTTTTTTTTGAGATGGAGTCTCGCTCTGTCACTCAGACTGCAGTGCACTGACGTGATCTCTGCTCACAGCAACCTCCGCCTCCCAGGTTCAAGCAGTTCTCTGCCTCAGTCTCCCAACTAGCTGGGATTACAGGTGCCCACCACCACGCCCGACTAATTTTTATATTTTTAGTAGGGACGAGGTTTCACCATCTTGGCCAGGCTGGTCTTGAACTCCTAATCTCATGATCCACACGCCTCAGCCTCCCAAATTGCTAGGATTACGGGCATGAACCGCCACACCCAGCCTTCTTGATTATTTTTGTAGAAATGATCCCATTGTGTTGCCTATGCTGGTCTCAAACTTCTGGCCCCAAGCACTTCTCCCATCTCAGCCTCCCAAGTAGCTGGGATTACAGTGCAAGCCACAGCAGCCCAAGAGATGAGTCCAAGAGATCTGGACAGTAGCCAGGGCCGTAGCTCACACCTCTGATCCAAGCACTTTGGGAAGCCAAGCTAAGCACCTCGGATTGCTTAAACCCAGGAGTTTGGAAATCATACTGCTCATTAGGGAAACCACGAGTGAAATTACAAAACAAAAACAAACTGATAATGCTCTGGGGTTTTGTTCCCCGCTTTTTATAATTTTGTCATTTTATTGATCCAGTGGGCTTGAATATGGATTAAGTGGTAAAATAAAGCTTTTGGAAATAAAATTATAGTGACCAAGAATAAGAATCCAGAAAATACTTTGCATCTGGGAAGAGCTACAAATGACTGTTGGTTTTGGGTTTTTGCAAAAATGGCGACTGGTGCATTCTTTTCATTTTCTGGCTTTGGGAAAATGGTCACGTCATGTATGCCGTACATGAGGACGTTGCTACCGCACTGTCACTGGTCCTCCTGATGTGATGGTCAGTGCCGGGGGCTGGAATACCGTGAGTACTGGCAGGGATTTTTCTTTTTTGTCTGTATTTTCATCATAGGGATGAATATCTTCTACGATTTGCTAGAGCCTTTATGACTCAGTAGGAAGGACCTCAAGAACTTCCGCAAGTGACTAGATACAGGATCAGCGCTTGGCTTAGGGAACGAAGTATTGCTAACAAGTCCGTATTTCACAGTCTGGGTATTTACAGGCTGTGTGATGCTGCCGGCATAAACGGGAGCAAACAGGCCATCCAATAAGCTCCACTTAGTCCATTTCTCCATGAACAAGCTTTTAGTCCTGATGGCATTCGGGAGCTCTCATGAAAGAGATACAGGAGACCAGTGAGCCAGGAGGTAGAGCTCTTCGCCTGGAAGAGAAATGTTTTTAAAAGGGTTACATGATGTTTAAAATAAAACAACCCAAGTCCCATCCACTTGAGAAGCTGAGGCAGGGGCATCCCTTGAGCCTTGGAGTTTGAGTCCAGCCTGGGTAACATAGCAAGATCCCATCTCTTAAAAAAAAAAAAATGAGTAAAAAACTAAAACAACTTAGTTAAAAGTTAAGCAACAAACCCCAGTAAATGAGGTCACTAAGATGCTTTGCTTTGGTTGCCGAATACCTCCTCTTTCTTCTAATATGCTATCCGTGAGTTCGGCTCACTTGTACTTTGTCGCTAGGGGAAGTTTAACGGGAAGCCTTGCGGTCTGTCTGAGGAAATGTGTGTGCTCTGAAGAGCTAACTAGATTTTGATGATGAGTTCGATTCACTTTTGTTCCGGCTGATGCGGCTAGTGGAACGGTAGGTAAGGCACATCCACCTTGTAACTTCTGTGAAAAGCGATGAGGGGTGCCGCATGTGCCACTGTAGCAAGCTCTTTCCCGTCACAGTGTCCCCAGTGACTTCAACTTTCATTATCCCAATTCCATTAGAAAGACCTTGAACATGAGAGCTTCGTTCATCTCCCCTTTTCAGCAGACTGCTCGTAATCCCCAAGCTCTATTTTGCTTCATGGCCCTAAGTTGTGGTTAATGGAACTGTGCTATGTACCATGCAGTATTAGTACTAAATAATTTGACCACCAAATTAAAGGAGGTACTCAAAAGATTTTTATAGATTCATAGTGAATTAGAAGCTTGGTTTTGAGGCTTGGCTATTACTTGATAGTGGGACGTAGATTGGAGCGGAAACTGCATCCTCCCTTTCTCTGTAACGTTCCTTTATGCATTCTGTTCGTCACTCACCCGGTATTTACTGAGAGAGCCTATGCCTGCAAGTGCCTTACTGTGCCGGGCTGGGGCACGCATCCTTCCTGGCATCTAGTTTCGCTGAGTTCAGTAATGAGTGTATGTATAAAAAGTGAGGAACGTGCATGTGCCCTCTTACTGGGGATCACTTCCAGCTAGAGGTGCACAGGCAGTTTCGCTTTCAATGGAGGTGATGGATGAGTGGGACATTGCCTTCAGCAGTAAGGGAATACCACAATTCCCTGTCTCAGACCCTCACGCCACGCTCTGTCAATATAGATGCCCCCTCATGGGGCTTTGCTGTTGTACAGCAGGGCAAGGATCCCTCAGCACATGAGGGAGATTGAGCTGAGGCTAGAATGGGGCTAAAGGGGCTGAGAGCATCAGATGAGTTCAAGAGATAGGAAGAGTGGCCAGGCACGGTGGCCCATGCCTCTAATGCAAACATGTTGGGATTGCTTGAGCCAGGAAGTTCAAGACCAGCTTAGGCCACAGAGAGAGAGACCTGTCTCTCTGGAAAAAAAAAATAGCTGGACATGGTGGCATGCATCTTCAGTCCCAGCTTCAGGAGACTGCGGCAAGAGGATCACTTCAGCCCAAGAGATGGAGGCTGCAGTGAATTATGATTGTGCCACTGCATTTCAGCCTGGACAAAAGAGTGAGACCCTGTGTCTTTTTTAAAAAAAAAAAAAAGAGTGAAAGTGAGAAGCAGGTGATAAGGGCAGTGAACACCCAGGAGACTGGATGGGGAAGAGGTCATAGCAAGGGAGAGTCAGCTGGAATCGGCAAGTCCCAGGACCCCAGGCCCCGGGTGCCGTGCTTATCCGACGTGTTGTGAAGCTGTTCAGAGAGAAAGCTGTCAAGAAACGAGGAGCCAGGGCAGTTTTGAAACCATGCTGGTTCAAGAGCCTTCAGCCTAGAGAATGATGCCAGGGACAAAGAGTGAGAGGAAGATTTTGAACCCATTTCTACTGCCTAAGAGGATGGTAGGCAGAAAGATTGGCCTGATGACAGATGAATAAGAGGAAACTGATCTCTGTCCATGATAAGGGTCTCACAGTCTGTTTCCTTTGCTTTTTGGAGACAGTCTCAGCCACTGCAATCTCCAGCTCCCAGGTTCAAGCAATTCTCATGCCTCAGCCTCCCAAGTAATTGGGACTACAGGTGTGCATCACCACGCCCAGCTGATTTTTTGTATTTTAGTAGACACCATGTTGTCCCAGCTGGACTTGAACTCCTGAGCTCAGGCAGTCTGCCCGCCTTGTCCTCCCAAAGTCCTGGGATTATGGTTTACTTATCTGGACCAACCCCTCCTCTTCCTAAGGTAATTGCAGTTGGTAGGAAGAGAAAGGGCCTCTGTCCGTTAAATTAATACTCCTCCCTTGTTTTTCTTTCTTGTTGCTGTTTTTTAATTATATAACAGCGATCATTTGAAAGTTAGCTTGTAGACATGCAAGTATTTCTTTGTAGCTTCGGTTACTAATGTACTGTGATGTATTAGAGTAATGGCAAAGAGTCATTAGGCAGTTAATTTATACAGATTATTCATGCAGAATTCCTAGTAAAATGAGGTTTATAACACTATTATTTTAAATCTTAAGAAAATGGACCTTTATAGCAAAATACTGAACTGCTTTGGGAGTGGTGGCAGGCTCCATAAATGGGATATGGTTTTATTTCTCAAACCATTAACTTTAAAGACCAAATGCAGCTGGGTGCAGTGGTTCACACCTGTAATCCCAGCACTTTGGGATCGTTTGAGGTCAGGAGTTCGAGACCAGCCTGGCCAACATGGTAAAACCCAGTTTCTACAAAAAATACAAAAATTAGCTGGGCATGGCAGCAGGCACCTGTAATCCCAGCTACTTGGGAGGCTGAGGCAGGAGAATCACTTGAACCCAGGAGGCAGAGGTTGCAGTGAGCTGAGATCACGCCGCTGCACTCAAGCCTGGGCGACAGTGAAACTCCAGCTCAAAAAAAGGACAGACCAAACGCCAGAGTTGTCACTTGGTATTTCTGGTGTAGGAGATCCTGCCGGCTGCAGGTCCGACAGTTGAGGGTGAAACGGTTTTTGGATCTCTGCTTTCTCTCACAGTGCCTGTAAACTTGAACCCCGGTGCACTGTTCACAGGCTCCAGCTCTTCACGGACACCTTTCTTCCTTGCTGTTGGCTTAGGGATTTCATCTCTTACTGTTCCCCTTGCTGTGTAGAAACAGATGCAGTCAGACCCACATAAGCTGGACTTTGGACTGAAACCCGAGTTCCTGAGCCGCCCTCCAGGCCCCAGTCTCTTTGGAGCCATCCACCACCCCCATGACCTGGCACGACCTTCAACTTTGTTCTCTGCCGCTGGTGAGTGTGGGGTTGGGTCGGGGACCCACTTGAGAAATGTAGTTCTCAGGTAACTAACTAAATGATGTTCGGGCTCTGTGCTGCCGTTCAATCACTACCTACAAATAGACAGTTCACGCCAGCCTGCCAGGCCGCATCGCAGCACATCCAGGGAGCTGGGCCTTCTTCATTAACACACTCTTTTTCATTAGAGGAGGAAGCAGAGATCATCTTTCCCTTACAGGGGTTCACATTGCTTCGGTTCATTATTTGCTTCTATATAACCAGCATAACACACAAGCATGTCAATTGCTATTGAAAAAGATCAGAAGGCTGGCAGGGGCAGATCGGAGGGAAACAATGCCGGGAACTATAGACGGATGCGGTCGCCCTTACTGTGGTGTCCGCAGAGCACTGTAACTTTGCACCAGCCTGCTCAGTGATGCTGTTTTTGAAGGTCTGAGGACAAAGGCGACTAAGGCAGTTGCTGGGAGTATGGTCTGTGGCGGGGAGGGTGCGCCACTCAGTTACTGGTTTTCTCTGCTCCGGAACGTCACACCATTGCCTGGTTGGTTATAGTAATCGAGGAAATTAGGGCGATGGTGTAAACACCCAAGTGACCTGTTTACCAGCTTTGTAATTCATTTCACACACACTGTCAAGTGTGTGCAAAGACAGGGTGAGGCAGTGATGATTCACACATCAGAGAACCGCTCATTCCTGCTCCAGGTAGACAGACAGACAAAAGGCAGTGGCTGTAAGGACTGTGTGCTGGATGAGAAGCGCCCTCTTGGGATTAAGGGTTTCTTACTGCTCTGTCTTCTCTACAGCTTTTCTAAGTGGGATTTCTGGTGCACAGAGCTCTCCTCCACTAACTCTTACAATGATGGCACTGTGGTCATATTGCTAATAACTTCATATCCGCCCTGCTAGGTAGGATTTATTCTTCTGGACATAAGCGGTCAAGGGGCTCCCCATTTCTGATGTCTTACCGCCATCCTTCCAGCTGCTACCCCAGGCGTTTATCCGAGACTCGCTGTTGGTGGACCTCTGGCTCTTCTGTTCAGGAAGACAGCAGCACCCACATTGCAAAAAATCATGGTTATAATGGGCCTTGCTACCAAAGCACGTGACCCCCCCTGGAGGGAGATGGGATTGGCTAAGGTCTCAGGGTTTTCTCTGTCAGTTCTGTCTGGGGACATATTTGAAGGCTCTGTTACCATGGCACCTAGGCACTGAGACAGGGCTACATTAAGAGCAATTTTTGGAGAGAAATAGAGAGATTTCTCTCTGGCTTCCATTTGAGCCAAGTGGATGAATTGGCTTCTTTTGCTTCAATAATTCTGGAACTGCAAGGCACCCCTGGGAGCCCTGGGCGCAGCAACGCTCTGGTCTTCATTGAAGCATTAATTAGCTTGCTCTACACAGACAGTATGTGGCCAAAATTTTATTTAGCCGACAACACTGCTAAGGCCTGATGAATATCCTGGCATAGATTCACTCTGTGGAGGCGGGGTATCATGTTTACACTTCCCAGGTGGAAAATACGCCACACGCAGGGCTGGATAGAGAACGCCTTAGGTGCAGTTCAGTTCTGAGCTACCGTGAGGGAGGATCTTCCTCCTCTACCACCTGGCTTCCTCTCCAAACCCAGGCCACCAGACTTTTGCAGCCCAGCAAATAGCAATCCAAAACATAAATTCAGTTAGCAGAGTGTAGACAGTGACAGCCCCGCTACATTTAATCCATTTTCCTAAGGCAGTATTTATTTACAGGGACTTAGGCAAAATGCAAAGGCTCGTGGAACAGTTCTTAGTAAGTTCATTTACCCAGGCCCCGTTCACACTTCCCTTCTAGAATATAACCTTTTTTTTTTTTTTTTTTTAGCATAAGATGTGTTGGATTCTGCCCAAAATGGTTATTTGGTGAAACTTGTAACCGATGTGTATACCTTGCACATACTTAAGAAATCTAGCCATTTTCACTTGCTTTTGGGTGCTAATGCCATGAATAAACTAGAGACTTCTTCAGATGACCTTGGCAAATCTCCAGTCTAGGGCAAAGCCTGCTTTCCAGGGAGCTATCCTCCTTAGCGAGTAAGTAGCCTCATATTAACAAGCCCATTTGGTGCCCTGAGCCTTTAGAAATGTCCTTCCCTAATTCACTTCTCTCTCCTTCCTTCGTTCCTTTCCCGGCTTCCTTCAAGAAAAGGATCAGAGGCATCTTCAAGAAACAGACATTAAGCAAAACACAGAGCAGAGGAGGACACGTGGATAAAAAGAAAAAGAAAACTTAAGGAAACTGCTAAATTAGACTTGAGTTCCCTGGCAGGCAAAGCAAAAACCTCTCAGAGTCAGTTATAAGGTTTTTAGTGCCCCAAAACATAAGAATCAACCAGCTTTTCCTGGCATTGAAAATTGAGAGACATCAGAGGATTTCATCCCCTAAAACCTAATTTAACTCACTATAATGAGCTTCATAGAGTTGGGCCTTACAATATCCTTCCATGTGGGTGCATGTGAACGAAGATATTCCTCAGGAGAAGGGATCTGCAAGGTTCCAGAGCAACACGGCGGAGACCCACAACTTCAGGACCGCCCCTCCTGAGCCAGGGACGATAAAGGGCTGGGTTTCTAGAACAGCGTTTCTCAGCGTGAAAACTTGATCCTCCGAGATGCTCTGTGAGGAAGGGGTTCCGTGACCAAATGTTTCCCTCTTAGAGGACGAAGGAGCCTGGAAGCTTATCATGGCCCTAAGAGTCCTTCAGTAAAGAAGCGTGCTTAGCCTTTTCAGGCCAGTATTTCTCCAGACTCACTTGGTTTTAGAACGTCCCCTCCGCCCAGGACCCTGGGCGGCCACCACTGTCTCTGTAGTACTGTGTGTCTTCAGCTTAAAAAAGAAAGAGCTCTTTTCGGTGTGGCCAGACACACGGGGAAAGAGGAAAAGGGATGATTTGTTGTCTGCTTCCTAACAAAACATTTTCTTTCACGCCGTGTCTTGCCTGCGGGGCCTGGGTGGACTTCAGCCGTGACCTCCCTCCAACCTATTTTCTCACAGGGCCCTTAGGCAAGCAGAAGCCAGCTGCATCTTCGAAGTGGGCTTTTTGTCAACTCTGGTTTCGTTATGTTTGGCTTAACAGGTGCTGCACACCCAACGGGGACCCCTTTTGGGCCACCTCCTCATCACAGCAACTTCCTCAACCCTGCTGCCCACCTAGGTGAGTTGCCCAAAATAATGGGAACTGGGGTGTCTGCCTCAGGCAACCTGTCGCGCTTACCCTGCTCCCGACGCACCTCCTGGCAAGCTGGTGGGAGTCCCACGGACCTCACGCACCACTGAGGCAGGAAATGGCGCTCTCTTAGGAGTTTCAACACGCCATCCAGCTTCCGGATTTCAACATGTCTCACACCACATTCTTTCGGGAGTAGAGCTGCGCTCTGCAGTGGTCCTGCCTCCACTTACCGTGGTGCACTGGGCGAGAGCCATTCCTTGGTACCTCAGGGAATCTGAGTTTACAGCAGCCTGTGTCCGCCCATTGGAAGAAGACGGTGAGCTCTTACCCCGTAGCGAAGGTCACCACTAGGAAGCGGAAAGAAACACAGGCTGCCGTTAGGAAGACGCGTTACTCCGTGCCTCACTGCCCCATCACCGAGTCTCTTCCTAGTAAAGGTGCACGTTTTGTGTGGCCTTTGTGTATTCGGTCCTGTCTGCAAGTGTACAGGCAGATGCAGGGCGTATCATAGGCGCACCTTTGGAGTTTCATCGGGGATTCAGATGCCACCTCCTGTCTGTTCTGTTAAAACCTGCAGAGGCAAGACTGGGCAGGAAGGCAAGTTAGTACCCCACAGCTGGAGTGGTGCCCCCACGGGGTAAAGGAAGAGAAATGCAGAATACAGAGTTCTGGAAGAAGCGCCCTCAGAAACCTGTTGCCAGCCGTGTGCCGGAAGCCAAGTGTAATGCACACCTTTTGCTCCATAATAGGAGAAGTGGGACAGGCCAGGGCAGGGTGTAGAGAGAGGAGGGATCCCGCATCGCTTTCCCTGCTCCCAGGAAGCTCCGGCTTCCTCTCTCAGCAGAGCCTGTGACCATTTCCTTCTTCCCCATCTTGTTTGCAGAGCCTTTTAATCGGCCGTCTACATTCACAGGCCTAGCAGCAGTTGGTGGCAATGCCTTCGGCGGACTTGGAAATCCTTCCGTTAGTGAGTACCTCTAACTTGTAAAAACCTGCCTTGGACTTTTTGTCTCTGTGATCTGCATACGGCTCAAGACCTTTCTAGCGACAGGAAACTGTGCTCCGGGGGGACCAGTGCGGGCTATATCACTGCAGAAGCGGGCCTTACCGGTGGGGTTAGGTGGAGGTGTGCAGAGTCACCCCGTGAGGGGGGCCCGATGTGGATGTCCAGTTCTCAGGGGCAGGAACGGCAGCATAGTTGATCACTCAGGTGTGGAGTCTCATCCACATTCCGCCTCTGCCCTCCAAAGGTTTTGGCTGCAGCTCACCTTAGAAATGAAAGCAGTAGTTACGTTTCATCTTGCCCTTGGCATTTAGTGAAACTGAAAAAAGCACAATGAAAAGTAACAGGAAGACAACACCAGGCTCAGGATAATGAAGATTTGGCAGCGTGTCATTCTCCATCTGGGAGGACCCTGCGGTTTTCTACTATTTAAAACACCCATCTCGATGAGGAGAAGGTCACAACCCCATCTCACGTTCTAAACATGAGTCACTGAATACGCGGTTGTTTCTTTCACGCCACACGCCATATATTCCGGGTACAGGAAGAGCTAAAACATGTCTCTGAGCCTGCCGTCTCTATTTAAAGTACAGCAAGGAGACCTGTGTGTCTGTTGAGGTCAAGGCCCTGCCCAGTCTCTGGTGACACTTGAACAGGGCGGTGGTGGGCAGAGAACACCGTGACTTCTGCTCTGAGTTCATTTCCGAGTTTTTAATCCAAATCCCACCATCATTCCACACCCTCTGCATGCCTGGAACTCCTGCATGCACCGGATATGCTGAATTAGGTCCTCTCACTACCCATGTGGCCCCTTTGCCTTTTTAATTTCCCTGGCCTCCACCTTTGCTTTTGGTTTTAAAGAGAAAAGAAGCTGTGAGCTACCTCTCCAGCACAGGACAAGACTTCCTCTAATGAATCTGTCAATCTCCTTTCCTTTTCCAGCTCCCAATAATATGTATTCATTTTAACTCTGAATGCTGTTAAAAGTTTTTTGGTAAGTACCTTCATTACAGCAGATTATATAATTTCTCTTAAACCTTTTTGTTCTCCACTTCACCATTTCAGCACCCAACTCAGTGTTCGGCCACAAGGATGGCCCCAGTGTGCAGAGCTTTAGCAATCCTCACGAACCCTGGAACCGGCTGCACCGAACGCCTCCGTCGTTCCCGACCCCTCCGCCCTGGCTGAAGCCAGGGGAGCTGGAGCGCAGCGCGTCCGCTGCAGCTCATGACAGAGATAGAGATGTAGATAAACGAGACTCATCTGTTAGTAAAGATGACAAAGAAAGGTACGGAAAGAAACCGCTCTCGAGTCCCCACGGGGGAAGCCTGCTCTGTGCCAAGTACCAGTGGAACCGGCCGCCCACCCTCCCTGTCCCAGCCTCGTGCTTTGCCCGCCCCGGTAGCCTCAGCTCCTCCCCACAGCCAGTGCCCGCAGCCCTCGCAGTACCCGTGGGCCGTAACGTATGGTGACCATAGGAGATAGCAGAGCTAGTGACAGATTCCTGTCTCAGTGGCAGTGACACAGCAGCACGTCCCGAGTCCCTGTTAGCATGTCCAAACAGAAGTCTTTCTCTAGGAGACACAGGGAGTTGGAGCTTTGGGCCAGACACACACAGCATGAATCAATTCCATATTTGCTTTCAAGTCCGTGCAGTCCATTAAACCATCCATAGGTTTTTCTCGCTCTTTTCCTCTCTTTTTGTTTTCTTTTAGAAAGCCATGTTTGCATTGCCTCATATTTTTCTCAAATTTTGTTCGAACGCAAAGCCTGGGGCTCACAGATGACTAATAAATTTTACTCACTAGACGTAGAGTGAGTAAACAAGCAGTTCTTTCCGTTTCACTAGAGGATAATTATTGTTAACCGTTGTCTCTGCACTTGGTAACCCACGCCTAAAAACGAGGTAGCCTTCAAGAGGAAATGTCTTGCAGTATTTTTTTCCAAAGAATATCATATGCATTCTTGACAAAATGTCTCTTTTTTCCTTTCTTTAGGCTATTTTCAGTTTAAATGAACTGATAAGGAATGCACAAAGATGCTTGACAGAAAATACCTAATCCCAGTTTCTTTGCGGTACTTAAGATTCAAATTTGGTCCAAATCTTTAATGTTTCTTTTCTGTGTATACCGTGTGTGTGTGTGTGTGTGTGTGTGTGTATCCTAGTAATTTAAAAGAATTCAACTTCGCAGGCTCTAAATGGGGCGGATTAGTAGATACTCATCACAGGCCATCTTGCTGGCTGATAAAAGAAAAAGACATTTTCCTTCAATCTCTTAACCACTGGGAGGAACCCTTATGACATTCAGCTCTGAGCTGTAAACTGCTGAATGAGGCACTAACCTTAGCAACTAACCTGGCAGAGCCTCGGCGCGAGCTCTCCGTACGCAGCCCGACACTGGCTGCGATGCAGGATGTGGCCAGCAGACCTCTGCATGGCATCAAACTGGCCTCTTGGATTCAAGTAGGAGGCTTCATAAATACACTCTTCTTCCATACTTGCCTTCTTCTCCACGTGTGGGCAGGAAACAGCCCTTACAGGAAAGCCTCCTGCGTTCTCACTGTGGTCCTCTGATCCTTGCATGCCAGCACCAAGCCAGCGTGGCAGCATGCCACTCTCCTCAACTTGGCCATGTCTGTCTTGGCGCCATCCCTAAGACTTGCCTGGTCTTAGTTTTATCTCAAGTCTGACCTTACTGTCATTGCAATTGTTTTTGCATTTTCTGCCCAGTGCCCTTGAGCCCCCATCCAAGAGACAGATCTCAAATGCCTGTCTCGAGTGTTCCCTCACAGCTGCTCTCTCACCTTGTTTCTGGTGTCCCCGTGAGGGTTTGTGTTTAGGGACCTGCTTTTCCTACTGCCTTCCCTCTATCGTCTCATGACACTGCGGCTTTCTGATCCGATCTGGTCCACAAGTGCTCTTTGCAACCCCACAGTCCTGCAGCTGTGGCTTCCTTCTGAGCCTCCCTCACGTGCTATGTCTGGGAGATGTCTCTGTATCTAGTTATTCGCTCTGAAATGGGTCACTTGTCCCTGTGAGGAGCAAGAGACTCCTGTGACACTGATGTTGAACTCCTCCTTCCACAGGCTCTGTGTTGCGGAGTTGAGAGAAAAGTGATACTTGGCATTGGGCTCTTAGAGCACTGTTCTTGACACTAGATGATACACCCAATGGGGCTAGATGGCCACATCACTGCCTTCTTGGCCACATGCAGCCTTCTTGGCTTTCTGGAAGCTCTTCCTCTGTGCTCTTGGTTGAGGCTCTTACATGCAGAGAGATTCTTGCTCCCGGCAGACTCCCCTCACCCTCCTCCCTGGTCCATCTCCCCCATTAAGCTTCCTCTAAAATCTAGGTAAGTAGGATGAGGGGCTGGCTCTGCCCTGCCCAGGGCATGGCCGCTGCCCTGGCGACCATGGGAAGCAGTCCCAAGACTGTCCTCTTCACACCACCATTTCACCCGCAGCCCCTGGCCTACCCGACTCGCCCGTTTCATCTGCGTCCTTGTCTCCCCCTGTCTTCCCCAGGGAAAGCGTCGAGAAGAGACACTCCAGCCACCCTTCACCAGCACCTATCCTCCCGGTGAATGCCCTGGGACATAACCGCAGCTCCACTGAACAGATCCGGGCCCATTTGAACACTGAGGCTCGGGAGAAGGACAAACCCAAAGAGAGGGAGAGAGACCACTCGGAATCCCGCAAGGACCTGGCCGCCGACGAGCACAAGGCGAAGGAGGGCCACCTGCCCGAGAAGGACGGGCATGGCCACGAGGGGCGCGCCGCAGGCGAAGAGGTCAAGCAGCTGGCCCGGGTGCCATCCCCCTACGTGCGGACCCCCGTGGTGGAGAGCGCCAGGCCCAACAGCACCTCGAGCCGGGAGGCTGAGCCACGCAAGGGTGAGCCGGCCTACGAGAACCCCAAGAAGAGCTCCGAGGTCAAGGTGAAGGAGGAGCGGAAGGAAGACCACGACCTGCCTCCGGAGGCCCCACAGACCCACCGGGCCCCAGAGCCACTGCCTCCCAACTCCTCGTCCAGCGTGCACCCGGGGCCCCTGGCCTCGATGCCCATGACAGTGGGGGTGACGGGCATTCACCCCATGAACAGCATCAGCAGCCTGGACAGGACTCGCATGATGACCCCCTTCATGGGCATCAGCCCCCTCCCGGGTGGAGAGCGCTTTCCATACCCATCTTTCCACTGGGACCCCATCCGGGACCCCCTGAGGGATCCTTACCGAGAACTTGACATTCACCGGAGAGACCCGCTGGGCAGGGACTTTCTGCTAAGGAACGACCCGCTTCACCGGCTATCGACTCCCCGGCTGTACGAAGCCGACCGCTCCTTCAGGGACCGGGAGCCTCACGACTACAGCCACCATCACCACCACCACCACCACCCGCTGTCGGTGGACCCTCGGCGGGAACACGAGCGGGGAGGCCACCTGGACGAGCGGGAGCGCTTGCACATGCTCAGAGAGGACTACGAGCACACGCGGCTCCATTCCGTGCACCCCGCCTCCCTGGACGGACACCTGCCCCACCCCAGCCTCATCACCCCAGGACTCCCCAGCATGCACTATCCCCGCATCAGCCCCACCGCGGGCCACCAGAACGGACTCCTCAACAAGACGCCTCCGACAGCAGCGCTGAGCGCGCCTCCCCCACTCATCTCCACGCTGGGGGGCCGCCCGGTCTCTCCCAGGAGGACTACTCCTCTGTCTGCAGAGATCAGGGAGAGGCCCCCTTCCCACACGCTGAAGGATATCGAGGCCCGATAAGCCGAGAACAGGAGCACAAACGAGGAAGAAGAAACCCTAGGCAGACACCAGCCAGACTTTAGAGAGAGAACTCCTGCATCGCTCACACAGACCTGGGGGGAAGCCCCACCTCTTCCCCTTGTAGAAATGTATAGACTCAGTGCAGATTTTGAAATGTTTTGTATATTATATGTTGAGATTTTTCAGCTCTTTTAGCCCAGTCATATATTCTCATGTCTCCTACTTTTTTTTTCTCGTATAAAACTTTGATTTGAACCAAAACCGTGAAGATGACAACACACACCCATTGGATGATAATTGTAGGGTGGGCGTGGGGGACATCCACAGCATCCATCATGCAAAACTCTCAGATGAGCTGGGAAGGCCGTGTACATAGTTAATGTAAAAAGAGATTGCTTCATGAGCTAATGGTTCATATATGCAAATGGTAAGATGAAAGCTTTACTTTGTACAAATGTAAATAGATAAAGATTAAGTAACATAATACATTAATACTTCTTAAAATGTGCTATTTGCAGACTTAATATCAGTGAACACAGTCTGCTGAGGCGGTGTTCCCATGTATCATAGACAGCTAACCCTTCAACTATGCAATGAATGTTCGGGCTTTTCACAAAAGCCCGCCCAACTCAAAGGAGCCTTTTCAGACCCATTTACAACATACTTAAGGTCATATTTTCCCTGAACAAGCGCTTACATGATAGACTCTGTTTTCCTTGCTTGTTTTTTTTTTCAAAAGGAGAAACATCCTATTTTGCAAATTGGACCCCAGGCTGGAACTTTGCATCTAAAGTTGCTGCTTGTGGGCTTTGTGGGGAAAGTGCAGCCCCGGAGAGGTAACTGAGGACGTGAGCAACCGGTGCCAGGGAGGATGGGATTTGCCAGATGCCAAATCAGGGGACGGGTGGTGGTGTCTGACAGACACAGACCGCATGCGAGAACCATGCCTTAGCGTGTCCCCTTTCACACCCGTACACACTTCCTCGTTTCGTAATGAGGTTGACTTACACCCAAACAGATCCTGAAAGAAAGCCTCCGAGTTTTCTCAGATGATGGATATGTTTCCACTGTTTTCAATAACCGGCCAACGGAAGGTGCACGTTTCCCAGTGTGACGCGCTGTATTCCAGCTGGTGATCGAGTCTGGGAGCAGCTGTAACGGGCCAACCTTGTGGAGCCATCGCGAGTTACAGAGGGTGACAGATGGCAGAAAAAAAGTCTCGTGTGCGAGTGTGTTTTTTGAGTTTGCATCAATCTTAATGTCTCTTCATAATACTTTTATAATACATTAAGCCTCTTGTCTACATATTTGGAGAGAATATGACTTTACTAGCAGAGAAATACAATATATCTTGTCTACTGGACTGTAAAATATATGTACGAAATAAAATTAGTTCCATTTGGTCTCCTAGTATATTAAAGTGCTATCTGACGTTGTTATCCTGTTTTTGCAAAAAAAAAAAAAAAGTTAACTACAGACCATCGTTTCTAATAAGCAGAGATCTATTTTAGTAGTAAACTGAAGGTTTAGTTGTGAGCTTCAGATTTTGTGAACTCCAGATGTTGTGCAGTGTTTTTTTTTAAAGACAACTAAAAAAAAATTCCAAGGAATATGTACACTGGAACTGTAGTGGTAGCTCTCAGTATTGTAAAGAGATTGTTCTATACGGACCTTTTTGCTGTTTATCCTGTATGTAATAAAGTCCTTTCTAGATCCTATGTGAGAAGAAAAGTGAAGAAACTCAATCTTCAGCATGTTCTCATCGGCGGAGCCTTCTCGTGTAATGTAAACTGTGCCATGTTATTAAAAAATGTGAACTAAGCTTCCAGTGGCTTGTCTGTGTGAGCTGACCGTCAGTACCCTAGGGAAGAGGGCGTACCTGTGCAGGAACGGGCTCCTGAAAAGAAGCGCCACAAACCCAGCCCGTGTGAGAACAGAAAGCGCACCTGCCGTGGCTGGCCACCCTACCTACCTCAGTGTCACACCAGTTCACTACTGTAAACATTTGCACCCCACACAGTCGATTGTGGTTGGTGGTTTTCTGGGGGGAAGGGGGGGTTCTGTTTGTTTTCTGTAGGTTCCAAATCCGGTAAAAGGCAGGTACTTGTGGATTTTGTAGGCCTTTGCACAGTGTGGGCAAGTCAGCCAGCCCCACGTGTCCCTCTGGGCTACTTCAAAACTCAGCAACAGTGTTTGCTTTTCCAGCAGTGATGAGAACTGTCACCGGGGGCCTGTGACAGCAGTTTTTGCTTGCTCGCTCTATCGCACTTCAGTCTGGACTCGGTCGGCTGTGTGTTACTTAACACCTTTTAGATACGTGTTTTCCCTGTCTTGGCTTTCCTCTCTTAATTACGTGGTGTGGACCTCATCAGTTTGCAGTCTCCCTGTCCTCTAAAATCTACTTTTTCCCCATGATGTTAAAAAAAAATTGTTAAATTTTCTTTTATTGATCCTGATGAAATTGCTACTTGGATGAGATTAGATGGGTGTTCGTATGTTATTAGGGAAAAAAACAAAAATGGTTCCAACTAGCAAGATCTGGGTGGCTGCTGTATGGGAATCATAAATAATAGAAATGCTTAGAAACTGGGGGCTCCAGATTGGAGTGGGCAAGTGCTATGGACTCCTGTGGCTTCACAGGGGCCTGGGCACTGCAAAAGTCAGTCCAGGGCACCGAAAAACGGCATCTAAGAAGTCAGTTCAGGGCACTGCAGACCCTGGTGGGGTCTGCAGGCTTCAGCTAATCTGGGCAGGGCAGTGACTTGAATGGAAGCCCTTTTCACTCAGCCCTGTTTTCCTGTGTTATTATCTGACCCCAAATTGGAGAAAATAAGGAAGAAAACCCTACTGGGTTGGAAAACAGGATAAACGCTGCGTCTTTCCGAATCGGGCAGTTCTCAGGGCCTTGCTATTTCTCACGGCTCCCATCGTACGCCTATTTTGACGTCGCCATCTGCAATGTCAGACTCTCAAATCAGCCACGGTATTTAATCCCCAGGGCTCATTCATCGCAACCTTTGCATATCCACCCTAATTACACTCAGCTCCTTGGCGCTGATGGGTCCCAGCACCAATTTGATTTCCTGCGAACCTATAGATGCTCTAATTATCTCCCCATCTTTGACTGACAATGATCTTGTTACCCTCTAATGGTACATGACAGGTAAAATAGCGAATATAATGATGCAATAATTACCACTTTAGATGGATATTTGCCACGGCATTTGCTGTTTATCCATTTTTCTGCCTCAATCAAGGTAGATGAGGGGAAATAAGATGCAACTGTTGACATTCTATACATCTGTAGCATAAAGAGAAGTCGAAGGCAGAGTTTAAAGTGCTCTGGTGGGGCGATCAAGGCCTTGCATGTCTGTATCTGTACTGGAAAACAAATTAGGCCTCAGTGGCCTAATTGTTGAAGGAACGAGGACAACAAATGTGACCTGGGCTTTCTCATATTTTTTTTTAAAAAACTCTGCCATCCCTTCTGTGCATTTCTGAAAAAAAAAAAAAAAATTTTTTTTTTTTTTTTTGAGACCGAGTCTCATTCTGTTGCCCAGTCTGGAGTGCAATGGTGAGATCTCGGCTCACTGCAACCTCTGCCTCCTGGGTTCAAGTGACTCTCATGCCTCAGCCTCCTGAGTAGCTGGGACTATGGGCATATGCCACCACGCCCAGCTAAACTTGGCATTTTTAGTAGAGAGGGCTTCACCATGTTGGCCAGGCTGGTCTCAAACTCCTGACCTCAAGTGATCTGCCTGCCTCGGCCACCCAAAGTGCTGGGATTACAGGTGTGAGCCACCGCACCAGGCCTGAAAAACACTTAAACACACAAAGTTTCCTTGCAGTAAAATGGGGTTATTTTCCAGATACGAAATTATGTTATCTAAGGCGGTCAATTCCACAATATGGAATTCCTAGTCTTTGCCACTGTCGCAAATACTGAACTAAGGTTTTTGTATCTCATGCCCCAGATGCTGCATTTCTAACGACGACTTGGTGGGAAGGGGTCCCTGGGCCGCGGTCATGGGGGCTGAATCCACCCCTTGTGCCTTCACACTCGGTGACCCTGCACACAGGCCCTCTTTGGGACCCAGTTTCCTAATGTGTAAAATGACACAATCTAAACAAAATGAGGCCTAAAAACATGAAGGTCATAAGCCCAAAATTCAGCATGGCGTGGGTGGAATTTTGCTGTCTGCAGTCCCAGGATTTATAGAAATTGTGGACTGGGTAGAGAATGGCCCCACAGCCCACACAAAAAGGAAAATAACTTCAAAAACTTTAGTGGTGGCCAAGCACAGTGGCTCACACCTGTAATCCCAGCACCTCGGGAGGCTGAAGCCGGTGGATCACTTGAGGTCAGGAGTTTGAGACCATCCTGGCCAACATGGTAAAACCTCATCTTTACTAAAAATACAAAAATTAGTTGGGCATGGTGGTGGGTGCCTGTAATTCCAGCTACTCGGGAGGTTGAGGAAGGAGAATCACTTGAACCCGGGTAGAGGAGGCTGCAGTGAGCCAGTATCACATCACTACTCTTCATCCTGGGTGCCAGAGCGAGACCCAACCTCAAAAACAGAACTTCAGGGGCTACAGATTCTTGCTGAAGATTTGCTGAAATGTTTGGCAGGTCCAAAGGGAGTGGGTGATGATTCTAGGGCTTCTAATTTGCAGGTGTTTCTCACCTGGTGAGGGGAGGGGTGCATTAAAACTGCATCTGGTTAAGGCACCCAGAATATTGTCACAGAATCACAACCTGCTGTTCTACCCAAAATGTGCCCTGATGCCAACATACACAAGATGAAGCTTAGCCTCTGAGCCCACGTTTGGAGATCTCTGTGGCTGGAAGAACAGAAGCCGGACCAGATGCCTTCAAATACTAGGGTTGTGTGCTATGCAGTTATTGGGCAAATAGGCCTTAGTTTCCTCATCTGTAACTTGAATTTGTTGGGTGATGTTGAAAGTCCTCTTCAAGCTGTTTGGATTTTGGATTTTGCGTCTCTTTTCAGCCTCAGATTTATTTTTTTAAGAGACAGGGTCTCGCACTGTCACCCAGGCTGGAATGCAGTGGTGCATTCATAGCTCACAGCAGCCTCCAACTCCTAGACTCAAGGGATTCCCCCACCTGAGCCTCCTGACTGAATGGAACTACAGGTGTACACCCCCACACCTGGCTCATTCTTTTTTTTTTTTGTAGAGACTGGGTCTCACTATGTTGACCAGAATGGTCTTGAACTCCTGGCCTCAAGCAATCCTCCCTCCTCGGCTTCCCAAAATGCTAGGATTGCTGGTGTGAGCCACCGCACCCAGCCCCCTTTTAAACCTTATTTACCTTCTCACGCCCTGCAGTCCAGCAAGGCCCAGCGAGTTACTATTCCCCATGCTTCCTAGCAGCATCTTGTCAGCATCTATCTGCAGTATCTTTTACCTCTTTCCAAAGGCCCTGGTGTCAGAATCGGAGCCACACTAAATGTCAGCCACATACACAGCAGCTACATCCCAACCTAGGTTAAATGCACATCTTCGCTCTCCGTGATTGAGTGAGAAAAAAGCACAGAATTTTGCTGTGATCATGAGCTTTTAAAAAAAAATGCAATAGTTTTTGGGGTACAGGTGCTTTGTGGTCACATGGATAAGTTCTTTAGTGGTGATTTCTGAGATTTTAGTGCACCTGGCACTTGAGCAGTGTATGCTCTACCCAGTGTCTAGTCTTTCACCCCTCAACCCCCTCCCAACCTTCCGCACTGAGTCCCCAAGGTCCCTTACATGTGATTATGAACTTTAAGTGGGGCCTTAATGCTTCCTGGAAATTATATATTTTTTTCTACTTTCCTGGGTGGTTGTCATACCTGAGGGTCAGCTTGTCCAAGACTGATTTCCTTCAGGCTGGCCTGTGAAACTCTCTGGAAACCAGCTATAATACACAGCTTGAACCCATCATCCTGGAAAACTGGAAGGCTCAGATACTAGCCCCCATCCCACTCAGGGAAGGACTGCAGCCTCTGTCCCCAAACCATGAACACTTAGCTAGCAGGACAGCACCAGAGCAAAGGTGCCCAGACATTGCATTGCTCTTATGTCCTGGCCCCAGCTGATACCACAGAAACAGCCAGTGCTTTCCTAATTATGCAAGTTAAAGACCCTACGGACCAAACATTAAAGTGTCTGTCCTGGAGTGTGACCTTGTACCATTGTTAGACTTGGGCAAGAGGGACCTTTGGCGTGGAAAGACACAAATTTAGTGAACGGCACCTGGCCACCTGTTACTTGGGACTCAGTGTATAGTGTGTTTCAGTTTAACAGATACCACTCACTCCCCTGAACATTCTCTCTTCTGCCTAACACCACCTAGACCCCGGGGACCCACTTTTCCACATCTCTTGCCTGGTGTCCTAAAGATGGGAGGCAGCTGCTTCCAGGATCCCAAATCAACATATCCAGGATTGAAATAAACAAAACCAACATTTGGTCCCGGATCCAAATTCAGTAGTAGTAGTTTCTATATGCTAACAATGGATGCTTAAAAAAACACATAAAACAATCTCATTCCCAGCTACTAGAGAGGCTGAAGCAGGAGAATTGTTTGCAACTGGGAGGCAGATGTTGCAATGAGCTAAGATCGCACCACTGCACTCCAGCCTAGGTGACAGAGCGAGACTCTTATCTCAATTTTTTTTTAAATCTCATTTATGATAGCATCAAAAAATATTTAATATTTAGGAATAAATTTAATCAAGAAGGTAAAAGACCTGTATCTGAAAACTGTTAGTTGGATAAATTGAAGAAGACACAAATAAACAGAAAGATATCCTATGTTC